CTCAAAGCCTGGACCCTACTTCATTATGAGTCTCCTTCTCTTTCTGCACCTCTCTCTCTCTCTCTCAAAAGTAAATAAAGATTTAAAAATATTACAAAAAAAGAAAGAAGCAGAATATCAAAACACCCAGTAACAAAAAGAGTATGGACTTTCAAGGCAGCCTAAGCAATAGATTCTCTCTATGTGAGTTCAGTTGTCACCATGTTATCCATACAAGAAATGCTAGCAGACCTTAAGGGATACATTTTAGACAAGGAAGCTAGAAGCCACCCCTTCCAGAATGAGGAGAACTTTGCCAGGATAGCCATTATGTTTATTATTGCTTTACTGAGACCCCCCCCCATCTCCTTTGGGCTGTGCATAAATGGGTGGGGCTACCCTACATGGATGCCCCCCTTCCCTTCTATTCTTCCAGTCTTATTCCTAATGTGGACCAGAACAGCGGACCTTGTTTTTGCTCATAAAATTAAATAACATTCTAGTCTTGGCTCTCCAAAGTTGCTCCCTTTGTTCTGAGTTTAGATGATCCTAAGCACTTTAGTTACACATTTGGAAACACAAGGTCTTTTGGTAACCACCAGAAAAGAGTAATCACTTTACTAGTTGAGCCTGATTTCCTACTTTTCCCAGTGTTTGGGGGCACACTATTGTCCCCCTCACCCAAAGCTTATGTAGAGTTCTCAACTGTACTCTTCAAACTTGGAATCCTATTGAAAAGGCCTCTCTATTAGGCCAACTAGGGTGAAGATTCATGAGGTTCTACTACCCATCCTGTCTCTATAGGAAATCCTTGCTCATGAAAAGTGCTACTCCTCTTAAGAGGCTTACAAAGTGTGTGCTTTCTTGGTTCTGTTTTCTCCAGGCTGGTTGGGTACACCATGGTGGCCTAATAACGGAAAGTATTGCTAGCACACCATGATTGACAATGCATTTTGGAGACAAATGGAAAATGTAAACTCAATTTACAGTGGCACTATAGTAAGTGGACACAGTTTCAGTGTCTAAAAACAGAGGCCCAAATTAACCACCTGCTAATATCAGTGAGCATAACTCTGGAGGTGAGGTTAGAAAATAGGAGTTTGGATCTCAGTTCTGTCACTTAGTCCCTTTCATTTTAGGTAAATGACCTAATCTCTCTGATTCTGAGCTTCCTTGTCTATAAAACATGCTTGCTGACACTGACCATATAGAACTGTTATAAGGATTTGATGCCCCTGTAGGCACCCCCAATTCCTGGCAACATAACTGTGCCATAAATGCAGCTTTCAATTAAAAGATCCTCAGTCCTGGGTGCCAGGGGAGGGAGGAGTTTTCTTCCCAGCAGAAAGAAGTTTCCAGGTCATCTCCTCAAACTGTTGGGCAGAGATTATTTTGTAAGACATTCTTTCACAGAGGTTTTTAGCCTTTTGGGATTTCTGGCTCTCTGCAGGAAGCTCGTTCCAGTTTCCTAAGTCACAGAGCCTTAACTATTATGTATGTGTCAAACTCCAAGTCCTCAGCCCACTTCTACTACCAACATACCATGACCCCAATACTCCAATACTCACCACCATTGTTTTCATTGCCCTCCCGTCCTTTTTTTTTTTTGATATCTGGGAGTTTCCTTTTCTTTTTTGCAAGCTCAGTAGTACATTAAAGCCCAAACAAACAAACTTTTCTTATTACATCTTATCTGGTATATCCAGGTATTAATAAGCAGAAGGGTTTCTGAATTTATGTAAACCACTGTGGACCTAGAAGCCTCCTCACATGGCTAAGTTAAACTTTTACCATCATGTATAAAACTAAAGTCAAACAAACAGACAAACATGACTGTTATCTTTTACATGATCTACCACTTTCATTTGAAAGTGTGGACTTTCTTCTACCACCAAGAGCACCATTTTGGTCATGTTTATTCATCTCTCTGTATCTATCTGTTATCTTTGTCTATCTATCTGTCTATTGTCTCTATCTACTATAGGTCTATCACATTATGTATCTATCTATCTATCTATCTATCTATCTATCTATCTATCTATCTATCCATCTATCTATCCATCCTTGCTTTGTATCTAGATAACCCCTACTGAAGTATTTTTACTCTTGAAAGGTATGGATAAAAAGAGATGACCTTGGTATTTTATTCAACAGTGCTCACATTCTGCTTTTGAGAAATACAGGAAGTGAAATATATAGTAACGTTTTAACAGTTTGTTTAAAGGTGGTTGGGAAAGGAAAGTTCAGGGAAGTTGGGCTGAAGTAGTCAGAAATCTGAAATAGGAAATAAAGTCTTAAACAGCTGTGTCATTTTTTAAGTGTACATAGGCAAAGTAAGGAGACATGACTTTAGCATTCACAACAGACCTAAGAAAACAGATAAGACACTCCTTTTTAAATGTTATTTTAATGAAAGTTTAAATGTTACCAAAATAATAAAAGCAGATAGTTTTTAAAATATTTATTATTAAAAAGTAATGGGTGTTTATCATTCATTTTGAAGCCTATTTGTAAACCATGAGAGAGACTCACATGTAGGATCTGGGAAATTTTCTCACATTATGTATTTGGTAATGTCCTCCATTTTCTTTGTTCTTTCTCTCTGGATCCCCTGTTGGAAAGATGACCTCATGGATTGATTTTTTTTATGTCTATTTTTTTCTCTACTACTTCTGTCACATTTCTTAAGCTTTAATTTTGTGACCCTTTTCATGAATATATTGTGTTTAAATTTTACTTATTATATTTTAGCTTTTTTTTATTCTCTGAATGTTCCTGTTTAGTGGAAATTTGTTCTTGTTTTATGGATGATATATTTTATCTTAATTCTTGGAGACTATTAATTAGGTTTGTTTACTTTTCTTTGTGCTCTTTGTTTTTCCTGTTATTCTTTTTTCTGTTTGTTTGTTTGTTTGGATCTTCGTCTAACTTGCTGGACTTTTCCTCAGATGTTTGGTGATCCTTTGGTATCTGCTTGTTTTTTTACACTGACAAACCTATCAGAACCTTTGTGTGGGGAGGGGTTTTATCAGTTGGTGAGAATCCATGTCTGATTATTATTTGGCGAGTCAGTCTTACCAAGAGATCCCTTCCAATTCTGCAGATGTTGGTGTTTGGAAGTTTTCTCCGGGTCCATTGAGTTACTTAGGACAATTTACCATTCCGGGGGTGTGGGTGGTGGTGGGAGTACCTATTTGTCAGCTTTCTCAGAGCCCCACTGCTCAGCTTGCACACATCACATAGGACCCTGTTTCCAGCCCCACCTCACCCCTGCCTCTGTCTCTGGTGGTCCCAGCTCCTTCAGGGTGTGCAGAGTCAAGGAGCTCACGCTTCTCTGGAATTCTCTGTGTAGCCCTTCAGATGGTAACATTCTTCGCTCGTTCTTTACTATGCAATTGATTCCTGGGTTCCATTCTTGTCTGTCTTTCAGACACATATTGAGCTCTTCACTCTCATATTCTGGTGGGCTTATACATATTTTACTGTTTTTTAAGTGGGGTATTTCAAGAGAGTGGAGATGAACATGAATGGCCAAGCCACTGTTTTCCCCAAAAAGAACTTTGCATAATTTGCATCTCTGTATACAACAGAGTGCACAAAAGGTTCATTTTAATGAGCTTAAAAAACATTTTCATAGCATTGTTATTTTTAAGAAAATCTGTTTCCTCCATAGATAAACTCGAGTGTTCATCCTAATTATCATACATTTTTAATCTGTGGGAGATGAATTAGTAAGGTTTCCCTGGCAATGGTAAGCTAGCGAAAAAGGGAACTTAACTATTTTGGGATAGCCTTGAGAAAAGGAGTTGAAGAGAGTGTTTACCAAGCATGGTTTAGTGATTCATCAATACCCAATAAGATGAGTTCATTTTAGTTCATTCCTGTGCCTCTAAGCACCATTCCAGGAAAATCTCAGTTTCCCCTCTTCAAAGAGCATTTCAAAAGGTCATGAACTGGACCCTCTGGGTGCTGAGAGACTTGCTAATGTTGACTCTCAATATTTAGGTTTTGATCCTTTACTCTCGATACATTAACTGAACTCCATTTGGTTTGCAAAAAGCTGCCCCAGGATTTTCTAGCTGAGATAATGAAGCCTCTGCAACTAACCCAGTACTATAATGCAGGCATCCTCTATTCAAGAGGGTGTCACCTGTGGGATGGGAGAAGGGGGAGAAGGGGGCAAGACGAGGATTCACAGAGCGGCCCCTGCCTGCCCTTCTTCCTCAACACACGCGTGGACTATTACTTTCCTCAGTGGAGGATGGTTTTGGGGCATGGAGAGCTGCAGATACATTCAGACGACACCTACTTGTACATACAGGTCCAGTGTCTGTTGACAGGTACTTTCTTTGTTCCTAAACAAAACTAGAACAGGAATCTTCACCTCTCCGGTCCATTCAACCTGGTTGAGATTTCTTTCATTTTCTTAGATTTCAAGGTTTTAACAGATAGTTTTGACCATTCAGGGTTTTTGCTGGGTCCCGATCTGCAGCGGTCTCAGGGTTTTGCCCTGACTCAGCTTCTGGTCACGTAGGGAATGTGTACAAGTAAGTGAGCAACTCCCAAACAGTACTCTGAAAGGTGACACAGGTGGAAAGGATGCTCCAGCAGCTCCTTCACAGGACCGTTACCTAATCCACGTTATCCAGAGTTCTGTTTTCTGGAAGGTGGTGGATGGTGGCCACGGGGAATGGTTGTCAGAGGAAATGATGTCTGAGATGAGAATAATCAACTAGAAGTTAGCCATATCAAAGGTTGGGGGAGGCAGACAAACAGGGTATTCTTGGTGAAAGAGAGTATGAGTCTAGGCACTGAGGCAAAGAGAAACATAGTTCTGTTAAAGAATTGGAAGAGGTTCAGTCTCTTTGGCGCACTCTCTAAGAAGAATGTGTCAGGAGTCTGCAGAGATGGTCACATTCAGGGCTAAGCCCCTTTATGTTTGGGACTTTATCCCAGGTGGGGTCTGCAGCCGGGGAATGACATCACAAAGACCCCTGGACTTCACAGTCAACCATGGGCTACCTGGGGGAGCAGTCAGAGGGCTACTGCAGAACTTGAGATGAGAAATCGTCTTGGCCTCTGCTAGAGTAGGACAGGATCCCTAAAGAGAAGTTGGATGAACTTGAGAGGTTTTAAGGGCCAGAATCTGCAGGAGTTCTTGATAAAATGGGCCTGAAGGCCTGAGCTAAAAGAAGGAGTCCAGAACAAGGTGTGCTCTGTCATCCATGGACATGGAGTCATGGTCAGTCATACATGGGGACCCTCTTGCTAGGTGGTTACACTGGCCTTCAGTGAATGGAACCAAGGAAAGTCATGCTTCAGTGGAGGGTGGGGGGAAACAGAAGCATAGGACAAGTTTAGGCTTTGGAGATATGGGCTGGATTGACAGTCAGGGTGATAGTCTTTTGATAGTCTGACGTCCTTGCCTGGATTTTCAGGCATGGCAAGAAACAGCGGCATGTCTTGCATTTCCTTTGCATTTGCCCGAATTCGTGGAACAGTATGTGGAAATCACTCACTACATCCAGAACAGCAATTGCACAGATGCTAGTCACAGCTGCCAGTGTCACTCTTGAAGCCTTCACTGAAGAATGTTTAATGAGGGGACCATTTACAGAAGAGCAGGCCGTGTTAGAGGAACCAACGATGAATGGAGAAGCACCCAGGTCTTAGTAACAGGGAAGCTGCTCCCACCCCAGGGACAGAGGAGAAGAGAAAGTTACTGTTAGCTGTGGAGGACAAGAGCCCTGGGAGATGTACCGTGGCCCAGGGAGGGTTGGGAGTAGGTCAGCATCCCTAATCTTTCTCTCTCCCGCCCTAGGGTCTGGGGTTCATGCTTCTGAGTGGATGCTCACAGCTGGAAGCCAGAGTCTAGGGATCCTGAGTGATGCACTTAGTACACTGGGATTTACTCTTGGAGCACAGAGCAAGGCAGGGAAGGGCAGAAAACAAATCTGGAGAAAGCAAAGACAGAAAAAATAAAATCACAAAAAATGTCCTTACACTCTGTCCTTTTTGAAAATACGTCTGATGTATATACAGGTAATAACTAGTTGTACGAAAAATGTGTACCTTGAACACCTCGTTTGCAACTGAACCTGTGTTTATAAGGCCCTGCTTAATAAAAGATGTTATAGGGGCACCTGGGTGGCTCGGTCTTTTAAGCGTCTAACTCTCGATTTTGGCTCAGGTCATGATCTTTCAGCTCTTGGGTTCAAGCTCCGGGTCAGACTGTGCACTGACAACACAGAGCCTGCTTGAGAGTCTCTCCCCCGGCCCCCCGCTCCTCCCTTGCTCTCTCTTTCTCTTTCTCTCTCTCAAAAAAAATTAAACTTCAAAAATAAATAAATAAAAGGTGCTATGTCCCTTCTAGAGTTTTTTTTTTTTTTTTTAAGTTTTATTTATTTCTGAGAGAGAGAGAGAAAGAGACAGCATGAGCAGGGGAGGGTCAGAGAGAGAGGGAGATACAATATCTGAAACAGGCTCCAGGCTCTGAACTGACAGTCAGCACAGAGCCTGACGTGGGGCTCGAACCCACGAACCATGAGATCATGACCTGAGCCAAAGTTGGCTGCTTAACCGACTGAGCCACCCAGGCGCCCCCCTTCTAGAGTTATGATCAAGATTTCTTTTAGCCATGGTGATGCTCAGAGGAAAAGACTGTTATTGCGCTCAAACTGGCAGCTGCTGATGGGCAGGGCAGCAGCGGGTGGACAGGACAGCTTAGCTGAGAAACGGGCTTTCCCCAAGGGACTATTGTCCTCTCTTCGGGGAGCAGGGGGCCACAGGGCGTGTCAGTCCATGAAGGCAAAGCTGGGGAGCCAGGCAGGAGTGCTGCCATCACCCCGCACCAAGCTGGTTCTAGCAGTGACACTTCGAGAGCAGACGGAGATGTGAGGGGAGGGTGGGGTGCGTTGGAGCAGCCACCGTTCATCAGTGGAATCGAAACTGCAAAGTCTTTTTAATGTAGTCTCGTCTAAAATGCCAAATCACTTACCTTTCGTAGACGCACTGGCCATTGTCATGTGGTGCTTTTTTATTCCCTCTAGGATAAAGCTTTCTCCTCCACCTCTCTTAGGAAACACACAGTAAAGGCCAAGTAGTGCGATTTGTTTTCGTTTCCTGTACTATTAAATATTCAGGCAATCAGAAAATGTTTCCTCATGTTACCTGGGAACAAAGCACTAGATCTAGAAGTTCCAATTCTTGGAGCTAGTTTCTCAAGCTCTCTGGCAATATTTTTTATTAGCTGTGTTATGCAATCTTGAAAAGATGATTAATTTTCAGGGCAGGCCAATCTGGATTTCATTATTAGCTTTTCTGCTCATGATCTGGGTGACTTCAGTCAATTTACTTATCTTCTTTGAATTTTTTTAAGTATATAAAATTAGGGTAATAGTATTTCTATGTATGTACATCGAGTTTTCAGAATTACTTAAGTAAGTTGATAGGTGCCTAATGCCTTACACCTAAGTAGGCACTTAGCAGCAAATACAGTCTCCTCCCATTTATCTCTTTTTTGTTTGTTTGTTTTCTGGAAATATCCATCCCTCATAAGATCATCATAGGATTCTTTAAGTGGCATGAAGATGCATTAAGATTTTTTTTTTTTTTTTTATAGTTTTGTTAGTACTGGGAAAGTGCTGGGTAAAATATTGAGTTGAAAAATATAACACAGCTGTTTGGGCAGATGAAAACCACATTGTGACTTTTATATGTTTCTGTCTGATGCTGGAGCTACAGTAGCTGACAGTCTGAAGAACTGGGTCAGTTTGCAAATAATATCTTTAGATTAGTTTCTCCAGGAAAGATGGAGACAGGGCTTGAATTACTAAGAAGGGATGGAATCCTACCACAGCCACATACAGTTTTATAGAAAGGTTCCACTAAGTCTTGATGGCAGGATTCTCTAGCCTGCTGTCAGATATGTAGGGCAGGAGAGTGACGGATAAAGCAGTGTGCATGCGCCAAAGAAGGAATTTGAACCAACATATTTCTGCTGATGCCATCATTATCACAGACCCTGTTAATTTCGGTTTGTATTAGGTTTCCAGGCTTCACAAATCGATTATCATCATGTCTGTGTACAGAGTTCTAATAGTGCTGTTCACGGGTGACCTACGATATAGAATGTGTGTTCTAGTCATTTGTTTTCTAGTTCTACGGATTTTTCTACTATGTTCCTTCCATCTTTTCTTTGCCAATCCTTCATAAAATAAGTGCACCATTTGGGAGCAGATGCTTACAGCTTTTGGTGTCATGGAGGAGAGAAGAACTAACTAGTAATATCAGCATTTAGCTAAGCAAACTAACCAAACCTCTTTTACAGACTAGTGTTCACAGCAGCTGAGAACTAGTGAGTTGTAGCTCTCTTACAAAGTCTGCATGTTGGGGCCCCTGGGGGGCTCAGTCAGTTAATCAGGGTCCGACTTCAGCTCAGGTCATGATCTTGTAGTTGGTGAGGTCGAGCTCCCCGTCAAGCTCTATGCTGACAGCTCAGAGTCTGGAGCCTGCTTCAGATTCTGTATCTCCCTCTCTCTCTGATCCTTCCCTGCTCACGCTGTCTCTAGCTCAGAAAAAAAAAAAAAGTTAAAAAAAATGTCTGTGTGTTGTAGTGGAAAGAAATTGTGACTTTGAAAATAGACAGACCTAGCTTTAAACCCCAGCTCTTTGTGATCTTGGACACCTAATTTTACCCCTCTAAGCTCCAGTTAATCCATCTGTAAATAATAAAATAATGAAAGCATCCTAAGAGCCACCTTTCAGAATTTTTATACAGATTAAATGTCTCTAAAGAAGACATGTATACCCTCTTGGATAAGGTTGGCTTTACCAAGGGATATGTAAAGCCACTGAACAGAAAGGTATACCTTAGAGGAGCATCAATTTTGCTCTGAATTTGGGGAGAATAGAATTTATTATAGAGTTGGTTCGTATGAATTTTAAAGCTAAAACATGAGATTTAAAACAAATTTATGCTTGCAGTTATTTTAGCTCAAACTCAGATTCCCTAAAAGTACAAGTTGACTCATTTCAACAGTTAAGAGTTCTCAGAAGTTGTTAGAGGAACTTATGCATATAATGATATTTGGTAAATATTATCAGTCAAGTTACAGTGAAAGAAACAGAAGTCTAGGTAACTTAAGCAGAAGGTATTTAAGGAATTAGTTGCTTACCAAAAATGGGAAGGCCTTTTTGATTGAGTCTCTGTTAATGACCCTCAGGTGTCTGTAAAACAGATACAATCAGGAAAAAGTAGAGAACCAGGAGGTTGCCGTTGGAACTACCAAAATTGTGCAGGATCTGAGGAGTGATGAACAGGGTGCCTGGCACCTTGCAACTGCCTATTGACACCAGGAGGCTGGGTGAATGGATGCTGGCTGTCCCAGCCAGCTGCCATTGCTTCTTGCCTTTGACCTTGACCCCCTTGTTTACCAGCAGTGGCAGTCAAAGCTGCCACCTTCTTATCATGGAAATACATAAAGTGTATGTCTGGCAGAACCTAGTGTATTTCCAAAACCCTACCTGTAAGGGAATCTGGGAAGATGGATTGTTTGTTTGTTTGATTTTTAGCATTCTACGTTGTAAAGAGGGTGCAGTGAGCATGAATTAGCCAACTCACAGTATCCATCACACAGTGTTGGCTACATGATAGGTGCTCAAGAAATGCTTCTCTTCCCTTCACCTGTAAAGACTCAAAATAAGAGCTTACAGGAAACTCTCTACCTTGATAAGGGTGGAGGAATCATGGCCAAAGTAGTACCTCCCCTACAGCATCAGTTTTGTTGAGTTTTGGAAATAGGTTGTAGCGGCAGACAGTAGGCTCACCAAATAGTCCATTTGTTCCCCCAAATCTCTAAGTCTTATAGTTATGTTGGTCCTTCTGACTAATTCTGGCTAATGAAATATGAGAGGAGGTGATATGTGTGCTTCTGAGCTGAGGCAGTGATTGGCACGTGTGTTCTTGGAGGTGCACCTTTAAAATGGTAGAGCGTCCTTAAGCCTGGCTTCCTGGGTGACCTGGTGAAGCAGTCCCCAGCCCACCCACCTCAGGCCCTTTTGGGAACATAACATGTTATTTTCATAAACTTTGGTTATATTTGATAACTGAGATTTCAGGATAATTTGATGGCACAGTATAATCCGATCTTATTGTGACCAATATGATCATCATGGAAATGTCCTAACTGTGCAGTCAAGCTGAGTAGTATTTACTGGGAGGTAGCAATCATTCTCACGGAGCTAGGTGTCTTTAGTAAATACAGTTTTTCCCTCTTTCCCACTTTTTATAGATTAAAAGAAATTTAATGTTTATTTTTGAGACAGAGAGAGACAGAGCATGAAGAGGGGAGGGGCAGAGAGAGAGGGAGAGACAGAAACCAAAGCAGGCTCCAGGCTCTGGGCTGTCAGCTCAGAGCTTGACATGTGGCTCCAACTCACAAACTGTGAGATCACGACCTGAGCTGAAGTTGGATGCTTAACCAACTGAGCCACCCAGGCGGTCCCCACTTTATATAATTTTAATGTAGAGTCTCAAAGCAACCGTATGGCTTCTTTTTTAGTCGGCATTTTCTGAGCAAATGAACATGACCTAAAGGTGCCTGATAAAGAACCTTTTCATATTCAGAACATGTGAAAAGCATCCTTTGTTATTGTAGTTACAGAGTTGCTTTGGAAACTGTTATTATTTGTGGCTCCTGCTCTTTCCCTATGGGTCCAGAGGACACCTTTGTCCGAAACAAAATCTCACCTCTGCTTCAGCAAAAGTAGATATAACCTCAGCGTAACCAGATTCTCCTCCAGCTAAAATGCTAGAATTTGTGTGTTTGTTTGTGGCCTTTCCAGATTATAATTATTTGCATTTAAAGACCAGACCACCAATTTTTGGCAAATGAAGAACAAAGACTTGAAAATATTTTACTCTTCTGTGTCTTCACTTTTACTGTTCTCTCATACTCTCATCTGAATTAGCT